ATAATTCAATGCGCAATATTCCCCAAGATTCGCATAAAATAATTATAAATATTTATTTATTCATCAAATGTAAATAAAACGAATAAAATGACGTCAAACAATTGTTGCTGTTCATGATAATTATGTAATTAAACGCACATCACTTTTATTAAAATAATAATTCAGAATTCAATAATTTAATTAAAATAATAAAAAAATTAACTAGGTGTAAGTTTGTAGTAAAAATAATTCAGTTTATAAATAAGGATTAAGAAATGTATGAATTACTGGACTCCGATATAAAAGTTTTGAATAAAACAACTTTGAATTCGATATTACAATCTTTAGCATGAATAAATAGAAAATTCGGGATATTTTTTGGTTTTTGTCGAATAATTCAAATATTTTATATAGAACCACCCCTTTTCAGTTGCCTAGGGTGAAACTAGATAAAATTTACAACATTTCTTAGGGAACACTTTTATACACTCCGATATAAAGGTTTTGAATAAAACGACTTTGAATTCAATATTTCATTCTTTAGCTATAAAGAATGAATAGAAAATTCGGGACGTTTTTTTGGTTTTTGTCAAATAACTCAAAAATATCATATGGAACTACCCCTTTTCAGTTAGACAGGGTGAAACTAGATAAAATTTACAACATTTCCTAGGGAACATTTTTATACACTCCGTAATAAAAGTTTTGAATAAAACGACTTTGAATTCTTCAATCTTTAGCAATACATATAGAAAATTAGAAATAAATTTGATCCAAAAAATGTCACAAAAAATCAGCAAACAAAAACTAAAATCACAACAATTTAAAACCAAATTGTTAAAAAATTAATAAATTCTTAATATTTATTATTATTATTTATTCTTAAAAACTAAGTGCATGTTAATTTTACAAGTGCAAAACATTTATCCAATTATCTATTATCTTGTATCTTTAAAACCATTAAATGCAAATATGCAAATTGCACATTGCAATTTATTATAATAATTTATTGTTCATATAGAAATGCTATTTGAAATGTTTCACAAAAAATGTGCATTTCTTAGTAAACTGCGCAAACAGGAGAAAATATCGAGTTTTTTTTTCATAAAAATACGTCAAAGACGTAAATTAGAGAAAAAAGTTGTTAGAAATTTAAATTAGATTTATGGATTTTGATTGAAATTTCTACTTCAATTTTGTTACGTAACATTCAATATGAACTTTCTGAAAAATTATTATGTATTACATTTTAGATTCTATCCACGTTGATGAATAATTTTAAAGCACAAAAATATAAAGACTGAAAAATTATTTATGTATGCTTAAAATAACGGTTCCACAAACCTTCTAATTTTTTTACAACAATCTAATTTATTAACAACTTTTTTTTCGTGCAACTTTGACCATAAACTTGGAACCTTGACACCTAAATTTTTGAAATGAACTCTGAAAGGTGAAAGATTTATAATAAGATATTATAGTCACTATTATTATAAGATCGACATATTATTTTATATTTTTTTCCCGTAAAATTATGAGGCTTTTAATACCCTGTTTATTAAAATAATCATTATTAAATTCAGCCCAGTTTTCTTTAAACAATATCAGTTTTTATATCAGCAATATTTGGGCAAAATCATTTTTGAAATGCCTGATTTTTAGACAGTCTGGATTCTAGAATTTTTTTGTATGATCTTCGAAAAGCACGAACTCTTCATTATGAAAATAGTTTATTATAAAAATTTCTATTGAAAATGATTTTTTAAATGAAAAACTGCATTTTTTGTTACATTTTCTGTGTATAATTTTTCGATTGCTCAAATTGTATATCGTCTAATTTAAACCTAATTGTTATTTATTTAAAATTATTCATGATCGAATGATAAACTCTAAAATATGTAAATAATTCATTTCTTAACGTAATTATAATTTTTTATGCATATTGCGTTTTATCAAAATGACTAAGCGTTTTTTAATTTATATATATATATATATATATATATATATATATATATATATAAATCAAAATTAGCATTTGAAACGCACAACAGGAAAAAATAAAAATAAACAAAAAAAATATCTACAACTTACAAATTAAAAACAGGCTTTTTGCGTCAGAGACCCGAAAATTGGTCAGTAACTGCTAAATCATCTGATCGAATGCAAATTTTAGAAAAAAATACAAATACAAATATAAATATAAATATATATATATATATATATATATATATATATTTAATGACGTCCACAAATGTCGTAGTTTGAAGAAAAAAACAGTTTTAGTTACGTCTTTACATTTCGGTGATTTTTAGGCGCACGTCTTAAAATAAATCTGTAGAAATCCGGATTATAATAATAAATAAATGTATTAATTATTATTTATCGATTTACGCACAATGCTATTTTACAAAACCCGATTTCTAATTTTAGTTTATAAATAAATGTATTAATTATTGTTTATCGATTAACGCACAAAACTGTATTTGTATGTTTTTCCTGAGTTTTTTTTTTGTTATTTCGTGAGAATTATAAATTCCACAAATGGAATATTATTTTACTAGTAAACATCCGATACAGATCAGATCAGATTTAAATAAACCGCAATTTTTTTTTTCTTGTTTATATATTGTAAAGTGTAATTTGTTTACAAAGAATATACGCAACTTTATATTTAAATTTAAAATATGTTGCCAGGTGCTATTATTACTGAATGATACAATTTAAATTATAACAAAAAAAAAGTTTTTGTTTCTATACTTGTTGTCCTGATTTTTTGGAATTTGGCTAATATTCCAAATTCTATGCTTTTTCTTAATACCTGATTGCTAACCAGATCTTTCAGATTGTCTACCAGATCTTTTAAATTGAATGTCAGATGTTTTTATTGACTTCCTTTACATTTTAAAGTTTAGTTACTTCTTGTTTTTTATTTTGACTATTTTTAATAATTAATATTGAGTTCTTATATTGATATAAAACAAAAATCTTAATATTTTTTACTGTTAATTTTTTTTTCTTATTCTAATTTTTCATTTATTGGCACGTGTTTGTGCAAAAGCAAAAATTCCGAAATTTTTGTGCAATGTAACGTCCGAATGATTGTGCTAAAAGCATTGTAAACTTGTAAGACGTACAATTTATTTATTTATATTTAGAAATAATTATTAGTTTTTTTTTATTCGCGATTATTAAATTATGATAGATGTCTTTCCGCAAAGAAAAAAAAATAGTGTAGAGGTTCGGATCAAATTGAATTTATCGCTTGTCATTAGTGACTATTGTTTGGGATATTGGAAATCTACAGATAATGGTTTGCAAATTTGTTATTGATTTTGGCACAGAGATATATGGGAATGATATGTAGATTTATTTAATAACCCAAAAGTCAATGTATAATTATACAAAATACCTAAATAGTATTTAGTTTTAGTTGCAATTTAAAAATAGAGTGAGACGCCGGAAAAAGTTCGGACAATCCATAAAAAAGTCAGACGTTACAAAATATGAATTAAGAAATTTGTGAAAAGGATCAGACAATCTTATAAAAAATAGACAATCTTGAAAATTTATTATACAATCTTAAAAAATTATTAGACAATTTTAAAAAAAGTCAGACTATGCAAAAGAACGATCAAATAATGCAAAAGAAAGATAGGACAATCTGAAAACAAGATCAGATAATCTAAAACAAAAATCAGAAAATATGAATAAAAAATCAGACAATTTTAAAGAAACATCAAATAATCTGAATAAACAATTGGACTGTTTCGAATGAAGATCATATGATCTGGAAAATAAATAAAAATCACAAAATAAAGAATAGGTTATCCCAAAACGATACCTAAAGGCCCTTTTAAAAAACTACTAGACTATACTTAAAAATTATACATTCTCAAAACAATTTAGACAATCCCGAAGAAAGATAAAATTATCTTAAAAAATTTACCTCTCTTAATTAAAAATCAGGTAATTCGAAAGAAAGTCATAAATATCAAAAATTATAAAAGATAAGATAATCAGATTTATAAGATAGATTTATAGACAATTTAAATATTAGACGAAAATTTTAAAAAAATTGGGCACACGATCTATAAGATCTAGCAGATAATTTGTAAGATCTAGCACGCAAATTGAAAGATCTGGCAGGCAATCTGAAAGATCAATAGACAATGTGAAAGATTTGAGTAATATCAAAATTTTTGTTTTATATCAATATTAAAACTCAATATTTATTATTAAAAATAGACAAAATAAAAGACTAAATTTAAAATATCGGATTTTTTATTCGGATCGGAGTCTTTCTTATTAAAAGCATGTTATTTTCTGTATCATATCTGCTCAGTTTTCTTAGTATCTTCTTTTGTAAAAAAATTACTCTTACGACAATAACAAGGCAGACAATCTAAAAGATTTGGTAAACAATTTGAAAAATCTGGCATACAATCTGAAAGATCTGGTAAACAATGTAAAAAATCTGGAAGATCTGGAAGTCAATATAAAACATCTGGCACACAATTTGAAAGATCTGGCAGATAATCTAAAAAATCTGGTAAACAATCTGAAAGATCTGGTAAACAATGTGAAAGATCTGGTGAACAATCTAAAAAATTAGGAAGTTCTAGAATTCAATATAAAACATCTGGCACACAATTTGAAAGATCTGGCAGATAATCTAAAAAATCTGGTAAACAATCTGAAAGATCTGGTAAACAATGTGAAAGATCTGGTGAACAATCTAAAAAATTAGGAAGTTCTGGAATTCAATATAAAACATCTGGCACACAATTTGAAAGATCTGGCAGATAATCTAAAAAATCTGGTAAACAATCTGAAAGATCTGGTAAACAATGTGAAAGATCTGGTGAACAATCTAAAAAATTAGGAAGTTCTGGAATTCAATATAAAACATCTGGCACACAATTTGAAAGATCTGGCAGACAATCTAAAAGATCTGGTTAACAATCTGAAAAATCTGGCATTTAATCTGCAAGATCTGGTAAACAATCTAAAATATATCGAAGATATGGAAGTCAATATAAGACATCTGGCACACAATTTGAAAGATATGGCAGACAATCTGGAAAATCTGGCAGTCAATTCAAAACATCTGGCAAACAATCTGAAAAATCTGGAAGACAACCTGAAAGATCTGGCAGACAATCTGAAAAATATGGTAGACAATCTGAAAGATGTGGCAGACAATCCGAAAGATCTAGTAAACAATTCGAAAGATCTAGCAGACAATCTGCAAAATCTGGCAGACAACCTGAAAAATCTGGAGGACAATCTGAAAGATCTGGCAGGCAATTTGAAAGATCTGGTAGACAATCTGAAAGATCTGGCAGACAATCTGAAAGATTTGGTAGACAAATTGAAATATATGGCAGACAATTTGAAATATTTGCCAAAAAATCTGAAAAATTTTGAGAAAAATTCAAAGATAAGGTTTATCCGAAAGATATGGTTGATAATCTGAATTTATAGCTGACAATCTAAAAGATCTGGCTGACAACTGAAAAATATGGAAGACTATTTGAAATATATGGGAGACATTCTGAAAAATTTGCCAAAAAATCTAAAAAATCTGGCAGACAATCTGAAAAATTTGCCAAAAAATTTGAGAAATCTGGCCGACTATGTAAAAGATTTGGCAGTCAGTTTAAAAGACATTGCCTACAATCTGAAAATATCTAAATAACTAATTTTAACTTTGACATTCAGTTTATATAATTCTTATAAATATAAAGAAATATTCGAGATTATTCATATTTTTTATAAGTTCAAGCAATTTGCTCTAAGGCATGATGCTATGCACCACTATTTTATTGTATTGCATGTTCCATTAGAGCTTAAATATATCAAAAATAGATAAAAATCTCTAAAAACTTTCATCAATCATATTTCACCAATTTCATCTTCAAAAAACCTACAAACCCGAATCATCTGCTTTTCCGGATTGTCAGTTTATTTCTGAATTGTTTTTGTTTTTATTTATGGATTTATTTATTTATTCGCATTATCTAATTTTTTTTTGATAATCCGATTTTTTTAGGACAATTTAGTTAAAAATGTATAAAAAACATAATGTATCAAAGAAAATTTTTTTACACAAAATTTCTTGAAAACACATTCTTTGTCTGACATTGTTCTGTATTAACACTTCTTTTCTTATGGCTCATGCAGAATTTATTGACGTCAGACATATATAACTGACACAAATAATATATATATATATATATATATATATATATATATATATATATATATATACACAAACTTTCATCAATCATACTTCACAAATTTCGTCCTCAAAAAACCCACAAGCCAGATGATGAAAAAAACAACTTGCAACCTAAAAATGTTTGCACTCGTGCGCCGATTAATCTCCGGTCATGTTTTCAAGTAAAAAATTCCTCTGGGAATTACCTTACGGTTAATTGAAAGGTACGAAATTACAACAACAATAATAATACGAATGAACTGTATTTAATAAAAGTTTGCAACGAACAAGAAAAAAAAACTCTGTAAATTTCCTCTCTACAAACAACAACGACGACGACGACGACGACGAAGAACACTTGTTCGACACTTGTTAAAGCGAAAGGTCAATGCCGAGGAGAATTCGAAACCGTGACATTGGATAAAAAAAAATATTTATAGAAATAAATTACGATGATTTGAGTATTTTTGTAAATTGGCATTTTTATTAGAACAACTATGTACGTCCGTCTATACGTCTGTTATATAAAGAAACAGTTAGAGTAGTAGTATAGGGCTTTGGTGTTTCAAGAAGTTTCACTTCATAAATGAATGAGTAAAGTGATAGTTTCATTATTTAGTTATGGATAAAATTTTATGGAGATATAAAGTCAAATTTCATCGAACATTAAGTCAAATTTCCAAACATAGTGTATGTCTAGAGCGCTCAGCTCATCAATCCAAATGATGAATTTTATAGTAATTCTCTCTTTAGGCGCGACTAGGGTGTAAATCCGTGCAAATGCAACGGAAGTGCGTTACGGCAAATAAGATAAGTCGAGTGCCAATGATTCGTCATTCGCTCTCGACGATATCATTTCTATACGGGTCGATTGTGAGTAGTCGTCGTGTATGTGAATAGAGATCTGTCGTTGTATGCGTAACGGCATCAACGTTGCATGCGTACAGATGTCAACAAGGAAATCGACATAGATAGATAAATAAACATTTTAAAGTTACATCGTAGTACAAATTTTGATTTAATAAAAAAATGCCTGAATCAGAAGAATATTTTACCCTGTTCCTTGAAAATAATAAAACAAATTAAACATTTGTGCCGTGTACTAAACGTAAGTTTGTTGATTAGAAATTATTTCTATATTATTTGTAGTTTCTATAAATCTTTGAATCTATTAGAATTGAAAATATTTTTTAGACAAAACAGATATTATACCTGTTTAAAGAATGAGATTATATCGCCAGCAAAAAAAGTAAAAAAACAAGCAGTCAATGAATGTATGTTGATTTTAATTACATGAAGTTCTTCAAACAAAATTATTACATGATGAGTGAAATTGTGAAAACAATATTTGTTTAGGTGTTTTTTAACATAATCCTCGGTGTGAACGAATATTATAGAATTTATTAATCAGCAATTACTTCATTTCTCTAATGAAGATTCATTTCTAATTGCAATGACAAACCGATCATATCATATTTGGAAACTAGATATATTCTACTAAAATTTAGTATAGATTATTATATACTCTTGCACATTGAAATTTTGAATAAAAATAGTCGAAACACAAACTAGAGTATTTTGATAATTAGCAATAAGTGGATTTGGGACATTTTTTCACATTTTCTTAAATTCCATGGAAACTTTATTCTAGACACTTTAATTTGCGCAAAAAAAAGATAAAATTTACCAAAATTTAGTATAAATTGATATATACACTTGCATATTTAAATTTTGAATAAAACTTGTCGAAACGCAGAGTTGAGTATTTTGATAATTTGCAATAAATGGATTTGGGACATTTTACTACATTTTATTAAATAACATGAAAGTTTTATTCTAGACTCTTTGATTTGTTTAGATTGCAAAAAATTAGATAAAATTTACTAAGATTTGGTATAAATTGTTATATACACTTAGATATTGATATTATGAGTAAAACTAGTCAAAACACTAACTTGAGTTATATATGACATAAATATGTTTCTATTGAAAAATATAATTAAACATAGTTTTTGTTTTATCTAAATCACAATGTAATAAATATTAAATAGAAAATTTTATCTAAATAGCTAAATCTTATTTCATATTGACAAAGTATATTATTCACAAGTGTCCATGCAACTTGCTTGATTTTAATTACATCATTGTTTTTAAATATTATACATATTTTGAATGCTATTATAAATATATAATTTATAATTTATCATTATATAAATGTGTATAATGATTGACGACACTAATAAATGTGTGCATCACGAGTGTTACTACCATACTACTAATAAACATTAATCAAAATTGTTTTAGGATGTATTTATTTTCACTTAAATGCCATCTTGTACAGTAGCAAATAAGTTTTACTTCAATCGCGCGTGAACCTTACGCGCATTCTTTTTTTGCGAGGATCAGCCAAGCACTTTCTTCACAATAATTCATTACTTATTTATTATTCATTTATATCATTGTTCCTGTTATCTCTCGAGTGAATGGAATGCAAATGCGATAACCATTTAGCAGATTGCCACAGCCTGTCCCCTTTTCAAGGGCAAACAATTCATCCCACACAAGATACGAGACCAAGTGTGAATGACTGATTGTGTCACAATGACAAAGTGACACCACGTGTCACTCTTGACTTATTGACGAAACGTTCCGTCTCACTTCTTTTATTACATTCCCTTAGTGATAAATTTATGTACCCGATGTTACAGGGTTGACAAAAGATATATAAAGAAAAAAAGAGGTTCACACGCGATTGAAGTAAAACTTATTTGCTACTGTACAAGATGACATTTAAGTAAAAATAAATACATCCTAAAACAATTTTGAATAATGTTTATTAGTAATATGGTAGTAACACTCGTGATGCACACATTTATTAGTGTCACTGTCATTATACACACTTATATGATGATAAATTATAAATTATATATTTATAATAGCATTCAAAGTATGCATAATATTTAAAAACAATAATGTAATTGAAGTCATACTTCAAATATGACATGATCGGTTTGTCATTGTAATTGGCATTTAGGACTTGGATCTTTATTAGAGAAATGAAGTAATCGCTGATTAATAAATTCTATAACATTCTTTGACACAGTGGATTATGTTAAACAACGCCTAAACAAATATTGTTTTTCCACAATTTCTCTCATCATGTCATAATTGTGTTTGAAGAACTTCATGTAATAAAAATTAACATACATTCATTGACTGCTTGTATTTTTTCACTTTTTTCCAGACGATATTCAATTTGCACGTCAGTAGAGTTCTTTTTTTAAATCGTATATATAAAAATTAAGTTTAATTTACTCCTCAGTAGAGTCATTTTTTATAACCTTGCTCGTCGGTAGAATCCGCTTTTCAAGTCATTAAATATTAATAATTTTGCTCGACAGTAGAGTCCCTTTTTCTTTAATTTTTAATTTGCTCGACAGTAGAGTCCCCTTTTCTTTAATTTTTAATTTGCTCGACAGTAGAGTCCCTTTTTCTAATTAATATTTTTGCTCGTTAGTAAAGTCCATTTTTTGTCTTTTAGATAAATTTTGTACATTTCTATCAAGTTATTTGATCACTTGTCAGTAGAGTCCCTTTTCTATTATATTGTTTATTTATTATTCATTTGTCAGTAGAGTCCCCTTTTGTCTTTTTTGTCAACTTTTAGTTTGCTCGTCGGTAGAGTCTTTTTTATATTTTCGAATTTCAAATTTGGTCGCCAGCAAAGTCCAATTTTAAATATTTTATATTAAAATTGCGTTTTAATAATATTTAATAATAAGTAGAGTTCTTTTTTAGAGACATTTTTTATTCATATTTTGCTCGTCAGTGGAGTCCCTTTTTTCTCTTCTAGATTGAAATTAAAATTTGCTCGTCAGTAGAGTCCCTTTCACAAAACATTTTCCATTAATATTTTTGCTTATCAGTACAGTCCATTTTAGTATCTAAGTTAAACTTACTTATCAGTAGAGTCCTTTTCTTCTTCTAAGTTGAAATTAAACTTTGTTTTTTTAGTTTGTCTGTCAGTAGTGTCCTTTTTATATTTGCTAGTTTCAAATTTGATCGTCAGTAGAGTCCTTTTTGTATTTTCTTATCGATCAAAACTTTGTTGGCTTGTCAGTAGAATCCCTTTTTAACTTTAA